AAGAATTTTTAGTAGTGGAATCATGAGTGCCTTTATAGCTCACAAAATGGACAGTAAAAATTACAGACTGGAAAAATTATCTGCTATATATGTATATATAAAATTATACATATCCTTTATATGTAGACATGTATAAACATTTATGTATCTAGACATAAAGAAACATGCACATATAATAAAGGACAAGTAAGCAGGTGGAAAACTTCAATAAAACAAGTAAAATGTTTCATATATGTGCCCTTATAAAGATACTTAAATACCCAGTAAACACACACACAAACTAAAAATCAACACATACCAGTTAATCCAAACTAAAACCACAAACAATTATCACTGCACCTTGTGCTAAATAGCCAAAATTACAGTGTTGGCCAGGAATATGGAACAACTAAAATTTTGGTGGAGTTTTGGGAATTATAGGTGGAATCAAAAAATTTAAAATCTGAGCCAGGTGTGGTGGCACACACTTGTAATCCCAGCAGTCGGTAGGCTGCAGCAGGAGGGTCATTTTCAGTTTGAGACCAGCCTGTGCTACAAAGTGAGCTCAAGGCCAGCCTGAGCTGCACAGCGAGACTCTGTCTCAAAAAGACACACAAAAAAAATTTAAATCTGGAATACTAACCAAAAGTACACATGATGTTAGTGATTATATCCCTCCATGTGTAGCACATACCAAGAGAAATAAATGCATACATGAATTAAAAGACTTAAAACACAAATTAGCCAAGTGGGCTTATAATCCCAGCACTCAGAAGGCTGAGACAAGAGAGTTGCCATGAATTTGAGGCCAGCCTGGACTTCAAAAATGAGCTCAAGGCCAGCCTGCAGTACACAGTGAGACCCTGTTTCCAAAACAAACTAGACATTATATTGAGCAAAAGAAGCCAAACACATACACATTGTAATTTACCATTTATTTGGAAACTAAGAACAAGCAAATCTAATCAGTTATAATGAGTAAAAATTGAGTTGCCTCTCTGAAGTTATGGAGAAAGGAGAGGAATGAATTTCTTAAAGTCCTGGAAATGTGTTTGCCATGCTGTATAAATATGCAAAATTTCATCAAGCTGTACACAGGTTAGCACTCTGTGCATACTGCCTTAATATATACCTTAATAAAATATAACTTAATAAAATAGCAAAAAGTGATTGAGAAATGGCCTATTTTTAAGAGATAAAAATAGAAAAAGGTGGTAACTAAATTTATTCAAAATAATTTTAGTGTTTATCTCAAATAAAAAGACAGTAAAATCTTCCCTCTTTCAAGACATCAAATAAAAATCTTCCTCTGTTACTGGGAAGAAACTGCAAAGGAAAGAGGAACTGGGGTGGGGGAAAGGAGAAAAGGAGGAAGGGAAAAGCAAAAACAAATTTTTTAATGAAAAATATATATATATGATAGTTAAAATAGTTACACTACTAATTTCTCTTATTTCATTGAAAAAAAGAGGCTTGTGCTGATATTGTTTGGGCAATTAAATGCTGATATCTTGTACCCTGAGTAACTAATTTAAAGATAACAATATGTAATGTAGTAACCGTTTTTACCCTCCTATTATCTTATTTTGAAATTTTTATTTTTCTCTTTACAATAAAAAAAAAAATCTTCCTCCACTAAGATGGGGTAATGTCTTCTGATGAGTGTCTCAATTATACCTAGCACAAATTGCCATGCTATCCACTTGCCAACTCCACTTGATTCTCAAACCATAGTAGGCTTGCAGAAACGTGTCATTCCTCATGATCAAAATCATCATGGCACTGGGCTGTGTACATGACAATCTATCCCCAAATGGGGTCCAACTCTAAGAAGGCAGTTAATGTGCCAGAGGGACCACAGTGACACTGCCAAAGACTGCCAGAAAATACAAGAAGCTGTGTAGAGCCATGATGGAGAAGCTAATAGAGATGTCTATGGAGCTATAGCCTCTGAGGACACTGAAGTCAGGTACTTAATGAATGTTCAGTTTCAAGCAAGTATGGATCAGTAGGTTCAACAAAAAGTTTAGCTGAAAACTGGAGTCTCACTAGGCCACTGTGAATCTACTTGTGTTAAAGGCCTCCTACACAGATAAAACTGACTTCATCTCTTAAGCCTTCCAAATCTCTTACAACCTCTTATTGTACACAACTGTAAACTGGAACTGGAAAAAGTGATTTTGGGAAGTAAAGTCCCTAACCATACCCCCATTAATACAACACAATTTTTAAACTCAAAATATTGGATTCAAATCCCACCCATGGGCAAGAACAGAGAACAAAATATAAAAATATTGTATCAGGTGAGACCATCCTCTTTCAAAATCTTTGTACTTATTAATATCTGGCAAAAGTAATATTATACATGAAAACTTTTTGATAGTAAAATTGATATTTTCAAAAACTATATCCAAGAACAGTGATGCATGCCTCTAATCTCAGCTATATGGGAGGTTGAGGGAGGAGGATTTTAAGTTTGAGGTCAGCCTGAGCAACTTAGAAAGCTCCTATCTCAAAATTAAAAATAAAATGGGCTGAAGGTGTAGCTCAATGGTACAGCATTTGCCAGGCATTGACAAGGCTCTAGGTTCAATCCCTACAAAAGCAAAAAGCAAAACAAAAACTACAGGTTTTCTTAGTTTAAAAATAGGAAGAAACAAAGAAGGAAGAGGAGGAGGAAGAGGAGTAAGAAATACTGGGTAGGCAACTTCTAGTATCTGCCATCACAGAACCCCCAAAGAAGTCAACAAAAATCACAGTATCCACACTATAACTATATAACTTCAGACTTAGAGAACAGTAAGAATTGGAAAACAATTTTTACAAGGCCACTGTCCCATCTGTATATGAAAAACTATCCTTCAGACAGGCAGTGATGTGTGCCTGTAGTCCTAGCTACTTGGAAAGCTGAAGGAGGATTACTTGAGCCCAGGAGTTCAAGACCAGCAACAACCTGTCTCCAAATACATACAGTAAGTCCCTGACTTACAAACAAGTTCTATTCCAGCAGAATTGCTCTTAAGTTGGATTAATTTGTAGGCCAACAAAGTGAGTCTTATACAGTTATAAACGTTCACAATTCAAATGCTTGCAAGTCAAGGACTCACTGTATCCATTTCAAATAACCCGTAAGTCTAAAAAGCTTTATAAAACTGTAAGTAACACTTATACATGATATATGTGTTACCACATATATGTGGTTATAAGCATTACACATGTAAGTAACACTTATATGTGTAAGTAACACTTATATGTGAAACACATCTCATACTAAAAAGTATCTAGCTAAACCTGAAAAGGTAAATTTATCACCTTTAATGTCATTTCAAAACAGTAAAAATCACTGAGTCAGCAGACTGCTTTGAAAATGAGGAAGTGATCCCTTCTATCACGAATTTTCTTATATGCAATAAGTGAAATGATGTTCAAGAAGGTTTTACCATATGGTTTACATACACAGGGTTTCACATATGTGACTTCAAGTCTTTGAAAGAATGAGTGACCACCTCCTACTTTCTTACATTCATTGGGTGTCTCTGGTATGAGACTTCACAAGTTACCTAAGATTAGGAAAATCCTTGCATAGTCCCATATTCCTTATGTTCATATATTTTCTCTAGCATGGATTTTCACATGTCTTCGAAAGTAAGCTGGACAGATAAAGGCTTTCCCACATTCCTTGCATTCATACGGTTTCTCTCCTGTGTGGCTTCTCACATGTCTTCGAAAAGATGAGGGGCAACTGAAGGCTTTTCCACATTTCACACATTCAAAGGGCTTTTCTCCAGTGTGCATTCTTGCATGGACAGTAAGGTATGAAGAATGTCGAAATGCCTTCCCACATTCCTTACATTCATATGGTTTTTCCCCAGTGTGTGTTCTCATGTGGATTCTAAGGGCTGAAAAATAAATAAAGGCTTTCCCACACTTCTTACATTCATAAGGTTTCTCTCCAGTATGAGTTCTTCTATGAACAGTAAGATGGGAGGAACTAATATAGGCTTTCCCACATTCCTTACATTGATAAGGCTTCTCTCCACTGTGAGTTCTCAAATGCTCTGTGAGGGATGAGGAACGACTAAAGACCTTCCCACATTCCTTACACTCATATTGAACCTTTCCAGCATGATCTCTCACATGTGCTTTAAAGGATGAGGGACAACTGAAGGCCTTCCCACATTCCTTACACTCATAGGGTTTCTCTCTGCTTTGATTTTTTACATGTGTATTCAGGGAAGTGGGAAGATAGAAGGTTTTCCCACATTCTAGACATTCATACGGTTTCTCTCCAGTGTGTTTTCTCATATGGACACTCAAGGAGGAAGGGCAATTGTAGGCTTTTCCACATTCCTTACATTTATAGGGTTTCTCACCAGTGTGTGTTCTCACATGTACAGTGAGTTTTGAGGACTCACTGAAGGCCTTCCCACACTCTTTACATTCATAAGGCTTCTCTCCAGTGTGAATTCTGATATGTATTATAAGGTGAGAGGAAGAACTAAAGGCCTTCCCACATTCCTTACATTCATATGGCTTATCCCCACTATGAATTCTTTTGTGCTTGGACAGTGATGATGAACAACTAAAGGTCTTCCCACATTCTTTACACTCATAAGGCTTATCTCCACTATGAATTCGTTTATGTTCTGTGAGATATGAAGAAGTACTGAAAGTTTTCCTACATTCTTTGCATTCATAGTTTGTCTTTCCACTGTGAATCTTCATATGTGCCCTGAAAAATGAGGAACACCTGAAGACCTTAGTACATTCCTTACATTCATAGGGCTTCTCTTCAGTGGGTGTCTTTATATGCTTCTTAAAACAAGCAAGAAAATGGAAGGCTTTCCCGCATTCCTGACATTGGTAGGGTTTGCTTCCAGTATGAGATTTGATGTGATTCTTAAGAGATGAATGAAACATGAAGGCCTTTCCACACTCATGACATTCATAGGATTTTACTTCAGTAGTTCTCCTGAGCACATTAAGATTTGGAATTTGTTCACACTGATCTTCATAGACGTTCTCCACCATGTGACTTTTAAAAGTAAAAGACATAACATTAGCAATGAATATTTACAACTTTCAGTGAGTATATTTTCTTTCCTGTCAATTTATAAGCTGAGCGTTTTCACAGAAGGTTCTACACTAGCCAATACTGTCAACAAGTTTTTGACTCATGGGATTTTCCTGGTAATTATTTACAATTAAAGTACGCATGTCAAATATTCTACATTCAGTATAACTTGAGGCAAAAAGTTTATATATATACACTTCTTAGATCTCAGGCCATTTTAACATTCTCCCCTGAGACACCACTTTCTCTGTTCTAAAGGGCACTCACCTCACATGTCTCTTACAGCTTCCATTCTGCTCATCAACATCATGGGGTTCCAAATTTTCATGTAAAACAAAGGAACAGGAACCAGTTCTTTTGAATCTTACTATTTTCTGTTCCATGGATATTTTTTCTCCATCAATATCTTGAAGAGCAACTAATTCATTAGTATTGAGTTCAGTTTCAAAACCTGAAACTGAAAAGTGAAGGCATCTATGAGCGAGGAACTTTCAACAGTGTGGTTGATTTTAATACACAGATGGGACAAAATAGTAAGCAATTCATTAAGAAATTGCTCTCTGAAGACTGACACAGATGGTAACATAAGTAGAATACTATGAGTACAAAACAGACAAGAATTGGATAAAATGCCAATTACCCAATACTAATTTTAAAAGAATAAAATAAGTCTTTTGCTAGAACAAGGAAAGTGTGAGAAGAATGATAAAAAAGAAAAATAGAAATCAGAGGTATCTATGGGGGATCAGCATTCTCCTATAAGGTTTTGTTTTGTTTCTATTTGATTTTTTTCCCAACTAGAAGAGTTTCTCCCAAGGGTTCTTACCTTCCTTTTGCTCCTCCATACAAGTGTCCTGGATAAGTCCTCCCTTTTCTCTCAGCAGGTCCTCCTCTTGTTTCCACTGGGAGATCAGATGAGGTGTGGGTAGCTGGTACCCTGCATAAGAGGAAACATGTATCATGAAGAAAAACAATGAAGAACCATAAGCCACAAACATTTCCATAAGACAGGGCCAAAACATTAATCTTTTGATACTCTAAAGATGTGCATCCAAAGATGTGTGAGTTTAACTGCAACACAATGTCAAATCTATAAAAGAATTTTAAAAAGAAAAAGAAAAGAAAGAAAGAAAAAGAAAGTAAAATACTGAGGTCAGGGAATAAAGGCAGACAATAAGACCCAGAATTAATCTGATATTCACACTTAAATCACAATATTATTACTAGCTAGTCTGATACAGCCAAGACATCTTGTTCTCCTGTTGAGCATAAATAGTATCACAGAAGACCAACCTTGGACAATGCTATTCTAAGACCATGATAAAAGATAGCAAAATTAGAACACTTCATAATTCTGTTGAAGGACAGATAAAAAGAAGGCATTATACAACTAACAAAATATTCTATACCAGTGATGGCAAATCTATGGCATGTGTGGTGTAGCCACTTGTTATTATTGAAAGCTCTAAAAGGTTTCCCATCATTGCTTATACAATTGCTTCTACTTTCTGTCAGCATCTAATTTATATAGTGTCCCCCTAAAATTGAACAATGGACTTCCAGAATCCATGTCACAACAGACCAATGAAACTGAATGCGAAGGTCAGAAATAGATCCACATAAATACAGCCATGCCTCTGTATCCATGGATTCAACCAACCACATATCAAAGTATTCACAGAAAAATACCATACATGTATAGACTTCTCTTTTTCTTGTTATTACTCCCTACTGAATAAAGTATAATAAGTATTGATAAGTATTAACTTAGCACTTAACATTGTATTAGGTATCTTAAGTCATCTAGAAATTATTTAAAGTATATGAGAGGATATGTACATGTTGTATACAAATACCATACCATTTTAAATAAGAGATTTGAGCACCCATATACGTTGGTATGGCATGGGGTCCTGGAACCAATATAGTAAAGACTAAGGGATGACTATAGAGTCAATTAATCTTTTGAAAAAAGAACAAAACCAATCCAATGGAAAAAAGATAGATTTTTTTTTTCCCCCACTAATGGTACTGAAACAAGTACCATACTGATGAAAAAAAAATCTCCACAAACATTAACTCAAAATGGATCACAGGGGGGCTGGGGATTTAGCTCAGCGGCAAAGCGCCTGCCTTGCAAGCGCAAGGTCGTGAGTTCAGTTCCCGGTACCGGAGAAAAACCAAAAACCAAAAAAAAAAAAAAAAAAATGGATCACAGACTTAAATGTACAGTATAAGATTAAAAGATAGAGGAAAAACTTGAGATGACCTTGGATTTGTAGCTATAACTCCAAAATACAGGACCCATGAAACAAAGATTTGATACACAGGACTTAATTAAAATTAAAATTTTCTGCTCTGTGAAGAGACTGAAAAGACAAGCCACAGCCTGAAAAAAAAATTTGTAAGCGATTTATTTGACAAGAGACTATTTTCCTGTTCTTTTACACAAAGAACTCTTAAAGCTCAACAATAAGAAAACAGATTAAAAGTATGAGCCAAAGACCTACACAGATACCTCACCAAAGAAGATATACAAATGACAAATAAGCACCTAAGATCCTCCATATCACAAGTCATCAAGAACTTGCAAATTAAAACAATAGCATACCACTAACACCTACTAGAATAGCCAAAATCTAGAACATTGGCAAATGTTAGTGACAATGTGGAGCAATAGGAACTCTCCTTCCTTGTGGAGAGAATGCAAAATATAGCCACTCTGGAAGACAGTTTGGGGCTTCTTATATAATTAAATACACTCTTAATATATGATCCAGCAAATCAATTGTGTTGGTTGGTAGCTACCCAAAGGAACTGTAAACTTATATCCACATAAAAATATATGCCACATGTTTGACAGTTTTATTCATCATCCAAACTTGGAGGCAATCAAGTTGTCCTTCAGTAGGTAAATGAAAAATAAACTGTGGTACATCCAGACATGAGAATATTATTTAGCACTATAAAGAAGTAATCTATCAAAGCATGAAAATATAAAGAGGAAATTTAGATGCATATTGCTAAGTGAAAGCAGCCAATCTGAAAAAACTACATACTTTATGATTCCAACTGTATGGTAATCTGCAAAAGGAAAACTATAGAGACAGGGTACAGATCAGTGGCTGGAAAATAGATACAGAGAAATAAAGGATAAACAGGTGGAATACAGAAGATTTCCAGAGCAGTAACACTTCTCTGTATGATATTATAATGGTATATACATTCCCTATACATTTTCCCAAAGCCACAGAATGTATAACGCTACGTGTGAACCCTAATATTAACAATGAACACTGGGGGATGATGTGTCAATGTGAGTTCATCAACTGTAATAAATTTACCATTGGGGTGTGTGGGTATGAAATGCTGACAGAAGGCAGAGGCTATATAGGAAATCTACTTTACACTCAATCTTGCCATGAACCTGAAACTACTCTAAAAATTAAACTCTATTAATAAAAAAAAGTCCACCCAGAAACTCAGAATGTTACCCTCTTTAGAAAAAGAAATCTTTGCAAATATTATCAAGTTCAAATGAGGTTATTTAGGGTTAGAGCGGGTCCTAAATCCAATAACACACGTTGCTCTAAGGAGAGAGATTGGAAAAAGTACACAGCAAAGAAGATGATGGAGGCAGAGACTGGAGTGACCCATCTATAAGTCAAACAACACCACGGACTGCTAATTGCAACCAGAAGCCAGTAACAGAAGGGATAGACATTTTCCCTAGAGCCTTCAAAGAAAACATAGTCCAGCTGACACCTTGATTTTAGACTTCCAGCATTCAGAAACATCACAGAGTAAATTTCTGTAGTTCTTAACCACCAGTGTATAATATTCTGTTGCAGAAGGTCTAAGAAAATAATAGTCTGCTTCCATAGAGTCATCCCCAAATCACCCAAACAAAGCACAAATCCTGTAATAGGTATTTTCCAACACCCTCTTACTAAGATGCCCTACAATTCTCAATGAGGGATGCTCTCCCACAATGCACTGTGAAATAAACCAAACATGTTTAACTATAGGTGTGTTGCTAGTGGTCTTTGGGCAAACGGTGTTCACACCAGTAAAATCCTCAGAAGATCTCAAATGAGCTTCCTGTACCCCAGTGTGACTCTTAAATGCCCACACTTTCAACACTTAATAAACCTCAAGTTTTTAACCACAAGAAAAACAAAAAGTAATTACATCAATGTTTATTTTCTTATTGAAACTTCTAGACTGTTACAGACATTGGAATCAGTGATCACATTTTTTACCAATTAATTCCCATTCCTCAGCCCAAATCGTAGAACAAGGTCAATCAGTAAGATAAAACTGTTATCCAAACAACTATGTGAACAAATAGTGCCATTCTTACCTAGTGAGGCCAGGTTCTGGAAGGTTTCTAGCATCACATCTCTGTAGAGGTCCCTCTGAATAAGATCCAGCAAAGCCCATTCCTCTTTGGTAAAGTATACTGCCACATCTTCAAAGGTCACTAAGTCCTAAAAGATCCCACAAATTCTGTTCAGGAAGTCACCAGTCCTCCAGTGTACACAAGAGGATGGAGAATGGTGATAATACTGGGGACTAAGAAATAATTTAAAGGATGTTGAGAAGATTCTGTGGTCTCCAATATCTACTTTGGGACTCAGTAACTATCTCTTTCCCTTCCTACCCATACATATTTCTTTATTGATAAAATCCTTTCTTATAGCTTCTATGCTTCTACAGCACTAAATTTCTCTCTCAGCAATTGATTGATAAGCAAGAAAGGAAAAGTCAAAATGATTTTCCTACTCTCTTATTCAGTCACTTGCTAGAATACAGAATGCTTCTCACACCTGCTATGTGAGGAATTTTCCCACATACTCTGTTATAGTTTAGATCTAAAATGTTCCCCAAAAGAATCATTTCCAGAAATGAAGCCTGGTCAGAAGGGCTGGGTCCCTGGGGAATCACTTGGAATGGTACATTCTCATTCCTGGCTCCCCTCTTCTCTACCTCCTGGCCACCATACAGTGAACAGCTTTCTTCTGCCATGCTGCTTCTGCCTTGGAGCCAACAATGGACTAAACCCACTGAAACTGTGAACCAAAATAAACTTCTCCTCCTTTAAATTGCAAATGTAGGATATTTTGTCCCAGTGATAGGAAACTGATTAATGCACACTCCAAGCACTTCTCTAGTGAACATCAGCTGCATGTCCTTTAATGAAATTCAGTTCTGACACTACTTACCTGGAGATAGCATCATCTCATGGGCTGAGGGCTCAAAACTACCCCTGAGCTGGGAGGTCAATTGTAAGTAGTAGATTGTCACCTATACTTCTGACAAAGCAGCTATATATCAGGGCCCATACCACCCCTTCCCTGAGTTCAATTAATGTGCTGAGAGGACAGATAGACCTCAAGAAAATCCTTAATGTTTATTGGCTTATTTAACATGTAGATAACAACCAAAGAGATGGTTGATGGATGGTATGGTAGGAAAAGGTACAGAGCTCCATGCCCTATCAAGGCACTACAACTAAAAAGATAGCTAATGGAAGGGAAGTATTCTTTTGGAGAATTACTTTCTTTCACTTACCTGTATCATAGTTTTCTGTAACCCAGCAGCTCTTCTTGCTTTCTCCATGTACCCTTTATGAAGAAAAGCAGGACACTGAAAAATTATAAGCAACTAGCAGCCAGCATGACAATCTAACCTCCCCAAAGTACCCACGCTTATGAGCCTGGATGCTGCAGCACACCATTAGGAACATGACTTTCCTCAAAACATACCAAGATGCCCAAGAAAACACAAGCTGATTTTGTATGTATAAAAATGGAGCAAGCCAGGTGTGGTTGTACCTGTCATCTCGGCACTCAGGAGGCTGAGGCAAGAGAATTACCCCGAGTTTGAGGGCAGCCTGGGCTACCTAGTGAGTTCAAGATCAGCCTAAACTACCTAATAAGATGCTGTCTCAAAAAAAAAAAAAGAAAGAAGGAAGGAAGATAGAGCAACCTTATCTCCCCCTTAGAGCCAGAAAACAATGCTTTGATCCTTGCTGATCAAAAAGAAAAAGTTAAAGCCAGGTACGGGGGCACATGGCTGTGCTCCCAGCATTCTGGGAGGCTGAGGCAGGAGGATCAATAGTTCAAATCCAGCCTGGCCAACTTTATCAATTTAGTGAGACCCTGTCTCAAATTAAAAAATAAAAAAGGGCTATAAACAGAGCTCAGAGTAAAGACCCTAAGTTCAATCCGCAATGCCACAAAGAAAAGGGATAAGAGTGACATTTTGGAATTAAATTAACTGCAGTCTAAAAAACTGGGGCTGTCAATTTGCCTAAGATAATAAAAAGCAAAAAATGTACCAAGAGTGCCTTTAACCATAAGAATATATACTTCCTATTTCAAATCCAAGGAAGCACTAATTTATTCATACACTAGGCTTCTCGGGGCTTCGCTCCCAATATTCCTAATTTCTGGACCCTTTGCTGAGCTAACAGCCATTACTGTTCAGCCCCTAGCCAATCCCCCCACCTCCTTTGAGCTGCTTTTTTCTGAAAAAGAGCATCAACCTTTTAAATTCCATACGAAGGAGGCTGAACAGACTCCTTTTGCTGTGATTTACATGCTAAATTTGCCTCTACGGCACAATCACAGCAGAACACTTGATCTGCGTCATTCTTGGTACTGGTATCTGAAGCTCTGTTACACCTGTAATCCCAGCTCCAGGGGGAAGTGAAGGAAAGCAGGAGGATCACAAATTCAAAGGCAACTTGGGCAACTTGGTGCGATGCTGTCTCAAAATTTAAAATAAAAAGAGCTAAGCATGTAGCTCAGTAGTAGAGCACCCCGGGGTCAATCCTGGGGGTCGGGGCACTAGAAAGACTGAAAGAGAAAAAATGTTTTGTTTTGGTTTATTTTTAATGGAAACATCCTATTTAATAGTGATAGCAGATAAGATCAGCTGCCTCTGAATCCAAAACAAGGCTACGATGTAAACTATAGACTATTTTCCATCCAGCTGAAAATCCTGACAGATGCAGTGGAGAAATTAAACTTTTTTTTTTAAAAAATGTACAGTGCAAGCACTAAAAAGGACACAGTGGAAACCAGGCAAATTTTCTGTGTAAAACTTAAGAACCTATAGATAAGTGACTAAAATGTCTCGTTTTATTAAACATAGAATGCACTTGGCAAGAAGGCGGGTTACACAGTATGTCTGAATACAGTGTGCCGAGCTGAGGACCGCAGGCAGAGGAACATTCAGAGATTAACGCTACGCAACGCACAGCGACAGAGGAGGCGGGACCGAGCTCACCCAGCGTGCAGAAATCCGGGGACCCGCGCAGCGACAGCGGCATGGAGACTCTCGTCCCCTGGCTCCAAAGCAGAGATGCCTTCCCTTTCTGCACGGAGACCACAGCATGCGTTTGGAGACTAATTAAATACGACAGCGGCCCTCCGGTTTGAGCCTGCTCCCCCGCTCGGGTCGCGCCCGAGTCCCCGAGGCAGTGGTCGGGTGGAGGGGGCCGCGGGCGGCGCTGACGAGGCTCACAGGAGACCGCAGGGAAAGGAGGCCGAGAGGATCCGGGCGGGGAGCGCCGAGAAAGAGCCCTGTGATCACTGACCCCCAGGCCCACCCCTCTGCCTTCAGGCCCTGGGAGATGGACGGGGTGAGGCCAGGTTACAAACTGAGGCAAAAATTTACTTCAGATGCGCACAGAGACGCAAGGTGACATGGCTGCCGCAGACGCAAGGTGACAAGACGGCGTCTCGCGCACGCGCAGAACCACGCGTCTGCCTGTGGCTCCCGGGGGGCGAACGGCGGAAGGGGCGGGGCCTCGGCCTCCAGTGCTGGGGTTTGGGTAGCCCGGGAGGCTCTGCAAGGTGAAGGCTGATTCTGTCCACCCGGGGATGGGAAATGCCAGCTTTGGAAGGGATTGGGAGTTGGTCTGGAGGTTGTGAGTTATTGTTAAACTGGAAGAAGGGGTTGGAGCTAGAGGAAAAAGCAGAACTGTGGATGAGGCTGGGGTGGGTCCAGAAGAAGCGGTGGGGTTTGATTGGCTCAGCCTGAAAAGTGCGGGTAAAACCAGTGGAGGCCTAGGGGTGTGGCTTCTTAATACTCCAAGGGGCGGGGTTAGCATGGGCCCAGGGCGAGGGGCAGGGCTTAAGAGAGACCTAAGGTTAGGATTTCCCCGTCCAGGTCCTCCTGGGCCAAAGAAGCGGATGTCCAATCGATTTGGGTTGTTTTCAGCTTTTATGAATAAAACTGCCATAAATATTCACACATGGGGCTTTTAGTAGTAAAATGTATATAGCAAAAATTACCATTTTAACCATGTTTAACTACAGTTTTGGGCTATAAATACATTCATATCGTATAACTATCACCTCCTTCCAGCTCCAGAACATTTTTGTATTCTCATACTGAAATTCGGGGCTATGAAACACCAAGTCTCCATACCCCTAGCCTCAAACTACTAGCACCTAACATCTTACTTTCGGTCTTATTAGAGTCCTCTTCATATAAAAGGAATTGTACCTTATTTGTCCCTTTACAGCTGGCTTATTTCATTACACATAATGCCTTCAAAGTAAGTTTACAACGGCCATCTGCAGAGTCAGGTGTGGAAGAATGCAAAAGGGCTGTCTATGTGCTGGAGAGCTGGAGGATCCGGTCAAAAGTCGAAGTCCTGGTGCTCTCTACAGAGCCTGGTGTGAGTCCATATTGGAAAACTGAAGGATCTGCATCAGAAAGCTAGAGTCTATGCTGGAAGCTTCTACAAACATCCAAATGCTATGGTGAAGACTGGAGCTACTCTGTAAAAGCAAAAGGGCAGACTTGCTTCTTCTTTCCCTTTTTATTCCATCCAGGCTACAAGACTATTGGTTGGTACAACCCACATTCAGGATGGGTCTTCCTGCGTCACTAAGTCCATCATCCAGAAACAGGCAGAAACGTGCTAAACTAATCCACTAGGCATTTCTTACTCAAATTGACCTTGCAGTTAACTATGATAGTATATTTTAGCTCCCTAAGAAACAACCAATGTATTTTTCCAAGAGGTTGCACTACTTTGTCTTCCCCCCAGCAATGTATAACCCAAGTTGTTAAGATCCAGACAGGCCGTTTTTCTGGAGGAAGCCAACTCATTTGTTTGCTGCTGACTTCAGGAGAGGAAGTTTGAGTAGGCAGCTCACCTGGAGCAGGGTGTACCCCACATTTCTAAGGAAAAGATGTGGACTATAATAATCAGGGTTAGTGCAGAAACTCAAGGATATGGAAACTTGGAATATGCCACCACTGCCCAACTTGAGTTCTGGAGAAAGCTTGCAACATCTAAATGTTGAGCCTTGCAGGAACCTAGCATTAGAGAACCTATAGGGAGCAAAGTTGAGGGGAAATGCCCTCCCCAGGAGTCTGGCAAGCGATCACAGTGAGACGTGGAAAGGAAGCTTCTTGCTCTTCCTTTGTCTTCCGGTATCCCACAGTTGTAACTGGTAAAGGAGAAACAGTTATAAGGCCCAGCTCCATTATCAAGGAACAGGCAAAAAGTGCAACTTTGCAATAGAGGTAATAAATCCATAACTAGTGTAGCAGAAAATGCCCCCCAGCCAGTTTGTTAGTTGCCAGGTAATTGTTCCTGTTCCAGATCCGATTGCTCCTGTCTCTTAGAAATGGCTGGTCACTGTGATGCATAGCTGGTCACTCTGTTGCATATTGTAAGAACCAATCCCCAGTTGACAAGCCATTCTGCCTCTCTACTTCCTGCTTGCTTACCCAATCTAAGCCCTATTCCACCAGAGATCAGGGCCTTGAATGATTTCAATCAGTGCCCATTGAGGTAAATAAAACTGCCTCCAAAGCTTGGGTGTCACTTCAGTGTTTCTGCTTGCCATTGCACTAGGACAAGGGTCGACATATAGTTTTGCTTTTGTTACATTTAATGATAGACCAGCACCTAACACCCACCAAGTCTTGATTCTTGGCACCCATTCTTCTCTTTTGCCATTGGAAGCTGTTTTTCTCTTCCTCTTTGTCACATAGGGTCACCCAGGATTTGAAGACACATTTATTTTACATCAGTGGGCGCTGATTGGAATCATTCCCAAAATATCAGGCCCTGATCCTTGGTAGTTTGGGGTTTATATGGGATAAGCATGCAGGAAATAGAGAAGCAGAGTATTTGGCAGTTACTGACTGGTTCTTAAAATATGCATCATAGTGACCAGCTGTTTCTGGGAGCCAGTGGTAACAAGAACTGTAACGGGAACTGTTACCTGGCCACATTACATGTGATCTTTTGAGACAAGGTCCAAACAGAAGCAATAACATTAGGGCTGTCAGTGGTCTTAAGGATGGCCCCTAGCCAAGGTCCCCAAGACTGAAAGTTTTCCCACCAGGAGTTTATGGTTTGTTTCCCTTATTATAGGGTTTCTCCCTAAATTGAGTCTGATGAGGGAGTGAAGGAGTTAATCTGATCTAGGAGTGTCCAATGTGCCTTGGACACTTGTCAAATCTTTGTCATTTGTAAGAGCCTTACTGGTTATTTTCTATTCTTTCAGGGCAATCATCCATAGAGTTAAAGGCAAAATACAATATCAAATATACATGTAAACTGAAGCAAGGGCTTGGGTAAGCAGCCTGAAAAGGCACAAAAATCAAGGGGAACAATGCATAGAGCTATGGAGCAATCCTGTGAATGGTGTCCTCAAGTTTCAGCTGTGTGTGGACTGGTCATTGTGCACCAATTGCTCCTGTCTCTTAGAAATGGCTGGTCACTGTGATGCATAGCTTTGAGTACGTAGCCCAGAGAAGGGCTTTGAGTACGTAGTATCTTCAGAGTGAGCTTAAGAGGAGCTGTCTGACCCCGGAAAACACTCCAGCAATTGTCTGGATTGGCTCTTTTAACTCTGGAATAGGTGTTTGTAGCTGGTTACACACTGTTTCCTTAACTTTTTAGAGCGTTGTGCTCTATATATTGTATAGCTCTGCCAGTTTTGAATTATCTCTGCTACAAACGCAGGCCCATTATCATTGCTAATAATCAAGGGTAGGCCATATCTAGGGATGATTTCTTACAACAGGATCTTACAAATTTCTGTTATCTTCTCAATGCAGATAGGGAATATCTTGAGCCAGTGTGACTAGGTGCGTATAAGCACCAGTAGATATCTGTAGCCTTTATAAGGCTTTACTTCAGTTCTTTCTAAGGGGTGATATTTTGGTCAGTTGGATCCCCAGAGGGGGGCTTAGAACTTTGGACTGGATTGTTTTGAGCACAAGTTTGGCATCATTGGCAAACAGTGGAACAGATCATCCCTGTGGGAGCGTCTCACCTAAAATAAGTTTGTCCAAGGTGACCATAGCATATCTAGCCTGTTGGACTCCACTCCTAACAGAGCTACTTCCATCCATAATCACAGTGTACTCAGTATCTGCCAGGGGGTTCGTTCTTAAGTCTGGTTGGCTCAAGAATAGTTCATCAGTCAGTTCCAGGCAGTCATGGTCTGGTGGGCCCAGCTTGGTGGGCAGGTACATAGCAGGATTGAGTGGTCTGCCACCACGATAGTCAGGCAAGGCCTTGGTACTAGATGATCCAGGTCTTGAAAAGTCAGTAATGTAAACCCAGCACAGAATGTGGCACATGGACAGTCAGATCTTGGCCTAAGGTGAACTTGTCAGTCTTTTGATCAGAAGGACAGTGGCTATTAAAGCATGGAGGCAAAATGGGGGAGCAGCCCTTAGTAACTGGATGCAAGTATTTGTACAGGTAGGCCACTGTGTGCTCCCAGGGGCTGACAGTCTGAAACAGCATCTTTGAAGCCACATGTTGTTATTTATTAAAAAACAAGTTGAATTCCGGTTACATCTGGAATTCCTGAGGTTGGGACTGTAGAGAGAGCCTCTTCCCCAGATACTTTGTAGCCAGTTTCTGCCAGAGCTTTTATGTCTTTCCAGCTGACAGCTCCAGTATCATTAATCAGAAGTGCAGTGCTATTTTTTGTTGAGCAACTAGCAAGGTCAGCTATGAGGGCATCTTCAAAGAGGGTAAACAAGTTTCTGAACCTCTAGGAAGTTGAGTCCAGGTCAATTGACTTGTGAGTTTAGAACTGGGATCTAGCCGGGCATGGTGTAATCCCAGCACTCAGGAGGCTGAGGCAGGAGGGTTGCTGTGAGTTCGAGACCATCCTGGGCTACAAAGTGAGCTCAGGGCCAGCCTGAACTCAAGAGCAAGACCCTGTCTCAAAAAGAAAAAAAAATAGAACTGGAATCTTTTCATTTAAAGGCAAAGAGGGGTTGGCTGACAGGAACCAACTGAAGGCAAAAGAAAGCTTTTTTTTTTAATCCAGGCAGGTGTATTAGCAGGTTGTGGGCAGCAGAAGACTGAGGCAACATTAGGACTGCAGGATGGAGGGCAACCACGGTGGCATTGACAGCTCAGAGATCTTGAACTGGACAATATACCCCACTGGGCTTTTTTACTGGCAGAAGGGGTGTATTTTAGCAGTTTGATGGTCTATACACATTTCATAGTTTGGAAGCCTCTGGATATGTGGTTGAATTCCCAGTCAAGTCTCTCATGGCATGGGGTACAGTTTGCTTGGGGGACCATGATGGTGCTGGAAGGGACAGAGAAACAGGCTGTCTTGGAGAAAAGGTGCTGGTGGCTTAGCCAAATCTAGTGTCAGAGCCTCCCCAATAATAGTGGGAGAGTTCCCAAACACTTGTGGCAATTGAGTCCAAGAGAGCTGGCCTTTTTATCTTATCTCAGGATCTCTGCAGTTGAAGGCACAACCCACAACAGGAAAAAACATCTTTCAACTCTAGGCACGTAAACCAGGTGGCATCTGAAGGTAGCAGTCCAGGAAGGGTGTATGGATTGGGAAACACAGAATGCAAGGTGATCCCTGTGTTGTTCTCAGCATGAAGATCTTGCACTGGCTGGTAATCTCCGTTGGGCATTTTCACAAAGAGGAGAGGATTGTTTTAAGGTGATTAGCAGTTTATCAGAAGCCGGGCATGGTAGCACACACCTGTAATCCCAGTACTGGAGAGGCTGAGGCAGAAGGATCACTGCAAATTTGAGACCAGCCTGAGCTACAAAGTGAAC